AGGCAGATTAAGCCTGTGGGAGTCAAGAATGTTTGCTTGAGATATTTGTAGCACAGTCTTAAGCCAAATAGTGCAATCGAGTTAATCAGAAATGCTTAGGTAAATAAATCTATGCTATCCACAGAAATTTTAAAAGCCTATTCTGTAATGTGGGGGGGGGGGATTTCCTGTGAATGTCAAGCATCAGTCTCAACTCTGTTTGCAAAATGCATGCTTCCAGCTATATCCGCTGGCATCTGTATCTTGAGACTTCTTTGAATAGTTTGCTTGTCAGGATGTATATACAAAAAAATTCTAAGAAGGAAGTCACATTAAAATCACTGTTTTGGTTGAATTTCCTTGGACAAATTGCAGATAATGTTCTTTATTTCCAAATATTACATTTCTATAGAAAAACTAGTGGAATATTTACTAGTGCTTTTATTGTATAGAATTCATGAAATACATCAAAATTGTTTATTATGCATTCTTCCCAAGGCACTTTCAGATCAATTATGTATAATTGGTCTTTAAAGTATATTTAATTGACTTCAATTAAATGGTATTTATTGGCATGCCAAAAATCATGGTTTGTTCATTGTTTAAAAGAGATCCAGTGTGGTAACGTTAATACAACCCTCAGTCTGTTTTCAGAAACTTTGCAAGTGGGCAGTTTAGAGCTTCACTAAGAACAGCCTGCCTTGCCATCTTAAGAGACAGAAAAAGAAAGAATAGCAGAAAAATAAAAAAATAGAAAAGGAGACAATAAAAAGACAATATGAATGAGGCGTCCTTAGTGCTCTCTAACCTTCGTTGTCTTCTTGCAGTGTTTCATTACCCAAACTAGGTAACATAATTAGTGCACTGTAACATTACCTAGTTTTGGTAATGAAACATCTGCAAGAAAACAACCAAGCACAGAGAGCACCAAGGATGCCTCATTCCAACCGTGAGATACAGATATTCTCCTTTATCCGTAGAATATGCATGGCCTGGCTCCCTTTGGGGTTTGGCTGCACACCTACTCTCTGTCTTGGTTCCGGCCATCACAGGCCCTGTGACTTTGAAAAGATACTGTATTTTCGGAGTATAAGACGCGCCAAGGTTTTTTAAAAAAAGGTTTTTGCACTCTGCAAACCTCCCCAAAACGCCCCGTTGTTTTTTTTTTTAAAAAAAGGCATGAATAGCCTTTAGGAGGCTTATAGAGTGCACCTTAGGGGGTGGGGTGGGGGCAAAATTGAGCAAAAAGGTCCATTTTTTGCTCATTTCTGCCCTCCCCAGCCCCCAGGAGCTCTCTCCTAAAGGCTGTGCATGGCCATTTGGGTGAATGGGCGGGGTTTCGGGAGGCAAAAAATGCTGTATTCAGTGTATAAAACACACCCAGATTTTCAACCTCTTTTTTGAGGGAAAAAGGTGCATCTTATACTAAGAAAAATACGGTAATCCTGAAGCAATATAGCACTTAACAAAAATGTTCCACCCGAACTAAATCTATGTTTCTTTTTTCTGTTTCTTTTTTGGGAATTTCTTCTGAAGACCCAGTGGTTACTTACTCGTAGAAGACCGAAGAAATCATTCTTTGAGACTTTTATCAGGAGCCTAATTATCCTCTGTGTTGCAATTGCCATTGTTCTGTTGTCCGTTGCGGTATGTGATGGCCATTGGCTTTTTACAAGAGGAAAACTCTTTGGTCTGTGGCATTTCTGTACCCTTGGAAGCAACAGCACCTTGAAATGCACCACTGATCTCTCTTTGACCAATATCAGAGGGATAAGCGTAGGAATGATCTATGTAAGAAGCATGGTGTCTTTTGCCGTTGTTGTTGCAATCTTTGGCCTGGAACTTCTCATGGTCTCTCAAGTCTGTGAAGATATCAACTCAAGGAGAAAATGGTCCATGGGCTCAGTCCTCATTCTTGTCTCATTTCTACTGTCATCGGCTGGAATGGTGAGCTTCTTAATCCTCCTAAGAGACTACATCACGATCACAAGTTTTACGTTAACCTATTGGTGTGAATTTATTGCAACATTCCTTTTCTTCCTTAATGGAATCAGTGGACTTCACCTTAACAACCTAACTTTTCCATGGAACAGAGTGATAAAAAATTAAACATGATGAACCAAATATCCCAAGAATATATTGCAGCTCATTAACGTTCTAGAAACCTATCAAGGGAATTGTTTTTGAGGGGAATTGTTTAGTTTGATTTTTTTTTTTTTTTTGGTAGCATAAGGTAAAAGATTTCTAACAGCTTGCCACTTTCTAGAGGATGTCTTCAAATTAAGTTGGTAATGGATGCTGAGTACTGGAAATGGGAAATTATAACCTGTTGGGATTTTAAATAATGCATCTAACCATAGTAATGGAATAGCAAAAAGCAACTTGCTTAATTTAAAACTCAGTTCATAAGCCTCAACATCCTTAGTCCAGTTCCAGTCATTATCTTTTAAGTGTCTCACTGAAATGATTAAGACAACCAATCACACTATTTTTATTTGAGTTGGGTGGGAACCAAATTCTATAGCCAGGTAAAATAAGACATATGCTGTGTGATTGGGTTTGTGCATTTTTATCACTGTGTTTTTCATATCAGTAATTTGTATCACTAGAAATATTTGTACTATGCAGGACATAGGGCAGTAACAACTAGAACTTCACTTTCTAATAGACATAAATAATTTGCCATTTCACATTGCCATATATAAGCCATGATTAAAATTTGTGCTTTTATCATATATTATTTGGCAAATATATGATTTATAAACCATGCCAGTACTGTGTGCATTTTCTACCAAAGATCCTTTACTGCTGAGAAGCAAGCTATCCAACTAACATCTTTTTAAATGAGATTTGTGCTATTATAATTTAATGAATGATAGTGGGGAGTCAGCCCCTTCCTGTGAGCTAGAAGTAATTTTTCATAGAGACATCTCAACTCTGTATTTCTAACCACAGAATTTGTAACACAAAATGCCCAGTTAAATTTATTTCCTGATTTTCAAAATTACAGAAAATAAGTGCATTCTTTGCTAAGAATAAAGGGTCAGGCCATTATCATAGAAAGCAGTTACTGGCACATATGTAGTGGTAAAGGTGGAAGGAGGCTCCCATACTCCTTTCTGGACATATAGCTTATATGATTTCAATCCTAAGAGACACCCTGTGGTATAAATGAAATAAATTGTAAATCAGATTTGGTGTAAGTTTAGAGCATGAATTTTCTATTGTTCAGTAATAACTTGTACTCTTCTCTGTATATGTATTTCACAATATTTTACTACAACAATAACAAGTTTCATAAACTCAGGACAGTTGTTACCATTTTTAAAATTGTAAATGTTTGACTCCATCCCTATGAACTTTCTATGTCTAAATATCCTATATTATTAATCCAAATTGTTCATTATTGTCAACAAAAAAAGTTAGTAGCTTAAGAAATGCACAGATAAGCTGTCAAATTTTCTATGGAAACCACTGCACTGATCATAGTTTTTGAGAGAACCAGTGTTATTTCATTAAAGCTGCATGCTTGATTGAATTCTAGGTTCTCTAATCCTTATTTATATTTGTTTCTTTACAGCTAACCGTAAGACTATTTAGGAATGCCCTAATTATTCTACTAAGTTTTTCTCTAAAACGTTTGAAGAAGTTTCCAAGCCATTTACTTGGAAATAAAGTAAAGCCACTATGTTGGCAGTCTAGCCAAGCTTCCCCAAATCTGGTGGGGTCATATTAAATGCCTAACCCCAACCAGTATTATATAGGCTGCTTTGGGCAATGGGAGTTGTAGTGCAATATATTAAAAAGGACCACAAGTAGAAAGAATGCTTAATAATTAACTAGACAGGTTATGATATCAGTAGAATCAATAGATTCACAAGCCATCATATACTTTTATATGTTTACCATACCAAAAAGAAAAGATACTCCATTCCTTGTCTCTTAGGAAGATCTTGGCATGTCATTCAACTTGCATTTTTATTATTGCCTCTTATGAGTTGTTAAGACTTGCACGGTTGAAGAATACAATACGTTATACAGTGAAGTATCGCCAGACTGAGGGGTGACCTGCTATTAGCAAATCATACCTACCTGTATTGTTTTGTAGTCTGTATAAATTATTGTATGAACCTGAAGAAAGAAAGATTTGCTTGACTAGAGTTTTGAAGTTTTCATGTTGAGAATATTTTGAAAAATCTATAGTATTTTTCCCCAGTTTAGAACATTAATTTTCTATTACTGCCTATCTAGAAGTCTATTATCTTGCTGATTTTATTCAATAGTTTTCGCAACTATCTAGTGAAGAAATTTGATGTCTTCTTGAAAAAAATAATGTTCTAAAGAACCGAACACAAATTTCTGTGGATGTATCAAAATTGTGGAATTCTTGCATAGAATTTCATCTCACGTTGAGAAGGTGGAACACTCTGTCCTCATGGGCTAAATGAATCACCATCATCTTTACCTTTCAAAAATGATGGTTCTTTAGGCCTTCAAAACTATCTAACTGTAGAGATCAGTTTTGAGCTGATGTTCTATAAAAGTTGTAAATACTGTTTAGTGTTGACTCTTTTCTGTCCTATTAAAGGCCATTTGCCAGAAAATGTTTGTTTAGATTAATAATGATTGTTTTACTAAGTAAGTTATAACATGTAAGATTTTCTAAACTTTAATAATGATTGTTTTACTAAGTAAGTTATAACATATGGGCTTTTCTAAACTCTTTTCTACGAACTATAAAAGGAAATTGGAAGATATCTAGGATCAAAATGTCAAATGTTCAATAAACTACTTTTTGAAATGGTAATTCTAATCCCTTATAAGTGTCACAGCTGGGAGACATACAGTATGTGAATATATATGCACATACATATAGTACACCCCAGTATATTTGCACTAAATGATAAGAGAAAAGGAACTAGAAAAGGTTCTCATAGGAATCAGAATGATGAGGTTGAATTAAGAAAAAAACCCCAATTTTAATTACTCCATAACTGGAGTAATTATGATCAGGATAGAGAACCATCCAAGGACGCTGGGAAGATGTGTGACAGCTCTTCCCCTTTCCTATCTTGGGGTCTGTTTACTGATCTGTCACCGCGGGCTAACAAACAGGTTGCTTTACTTTGAATTTCTGTTCAGGTAGCCAAGTATATCAACATAACTTTCTAACAACAAAACAATTGTACATGGCATTACCAGATAGTGGTTGATATTAACAGAGCCTAAAGCCACTAATGATCTTGCAACAAAAGCACCAAAGATAGGGGCATCATAAAGATCCTGTGACACAAGAACAGATAGCCAGAGGCCATTCTAGGGGGTAAATTTATTTCTCGCCTTTAATTTCTATACATATCTTAAGATGACAAACCCACACAATACTTCTTCCTCCTATTTTCCCTACAACCACCACCCTCTGAAGAGGGTTGGGCTGAGAGATAGAGTGACTAGCTCAAAGTCACCAAGCTGGGTTTTCATATAAAGAACGGTTGCAGAAATTGGGTTTAATGAAAAGAAGGATTGGGAGGACATGATAAGAAGCAATGGGTAGAAACGAATCAAGGAGAGAAGCAACCTAGAACTAAGAAGAAATTTCCTGACAGAACAATTAATCAGTGGAACAACTTGCCTCCAGAAATTGTGAATGCTCCAATACTAGAAGTTTTTAAGAAGAGATTGGATAATCATTTGTCTGAAATGGTATAGGTTTTTCTGCCTGAGCACGGGGTTGGATTTAGAAGACCTCCATGGTCCCTTCCAACTCTCCATTCCATTCCATTCCTGCTTTAAGATTGAATGAATGAACAAATGAATGAACGAACGAATGAAGCAGCCATCTTGACAAGTTTTTTTCTCAAACTTGCCAGCACTCTAAAATGACAATTTATGGCCTCTAGCTATAAAATTAATGATTTCATTGATGTTGGATAAGAAAAAAATATACCACTCTTAGGAGTCACCAGGGTTAATTATACAGTATATTTATATTTGAGAGTTATAAGGCTATGCAACAGTTATGCTTGCTGTATACAACAATTCTCCATTGACAACTCATGTAGGTAACTTGAGGAGAAAAGCTCAAGAGTAAGTTTTGATGATGTTCCCATTTTGCTTATACAAACTTTTTTAAAAAATGTGTCCCCTCTCTTCTAAGTTACTTGAGATCCTTAGTAGAGAGTTTTGGATCAGAGTTGTCCGAACTGTTTACATTATACTTCGGGCATTAACCTGTGGGAGAATGGGGGTTGATTTATTTTTATGCTTTTACTGAGTGAAACCCTGTAAAAACCAAACATACACAAAGGAACTGGTTCTTTCACCCCCAGCATATGCAAGAGCAGGGGTCTGGATTAAATTATCTCCAGACATTGTGGGCTATAATTGGGGTGTGTGTGGAATCTTAATGGTAAAACTGTTCAGTAATGGATCAGTGGGCTTAAGACAGATTTTCTCTGCTTTAAAATTTTCATCTGTTCTCCACCATAACACGATAAAAATCTATACTGACAGTTTTCAGCTTAGTGTAATGTGTGAACTCAATCCTAGAAAACCAAAATGGGCAGAATATAGCTGTGGGCTCTGTGGGAGATGTCTAAATGTTTCAGGAACATCCAAGTATCTTGGGAACAACTCTCACCACCATGTACATACTGGCTTGAGGTAATAATCTAATATACCCAGAGGCCACTTGCATAGGGCAAGCTGGTTTAGAGGGGAAGAGAGTCCATAAAAGTCATTGTTGGCTCTGGACACCCTCAGAAAAAAAGTTGTGGAGGGTTATGTTTTTTTTATTTTTGCATCGTATGGCCCAGAAATATTATATTTGTGACTTACTGTTAAATACAATAGTACTTTCACTGAAGTGACACTTGGCACAGGCAGTGGGTAAACTAGACTCAAATTCAATAATATGAAAACACAAGCTTAACTTTCACAATAAGATGATTTCCCAAAGCCACTCAATTGCTTTTACTACAGAACAATACTGGTAACTGTCAATTCAAGCCACTGCCAATAGCAATATTCACTGATGCAATTCATCACAGCAAACAAAAGACTGACATGAACTATCTACACTGGTTTGAACATTGTCCAACTAATGTAAAATAGCTAGAGCTTTGGCACGTTTGCAGTAGCTGTCTATTTTTTGTGAAAAATTCTTTTCTTGAGAAAGAGTTTTTCACAAAAAAAAAGCACTGCAAATGCCACTGATGTGCTGATTATTTCTAAGGTTTAAGTAGCTAAGAGAGCACTCTTGAAACAGTTTGATAAGATCATTGTAAGATAGTATATAATGAGAAACAGTCAATGGAAGACAGGAATAAGGAACCCTCCAAATCAGTCCCAAAGGTGCTTTTTCAGGAGGCAACTGAATTTTTCTTGTTTTGTCTTTGAAGGCATTTTGCTTCTCATCCAAGAAGCTTCTTCAGCTCTGAGTGGATGGTGGGGAATGGAAGGATTTATATTCCTTGCAGACAACTGGTAATATGTATCCTTTTACAGGGTTATTGAGGCACTTGGAGGTTAAACTGTGTCCTGAGGGACATAGCCATGTATGGGATGGGATGAAGACCCTTTGAATGGTGTAAGAGTATGAACGGATTTCCAGAGGGAAAAAATTGCAGACCACAGGAACCATTTGCACTATGTAGGTGACCCTTAGGATACAGAGAAACCTCCAAAGGCCTCACCTTCTCTAAAAGGATGCAAATAACCAGCTGTCTGCAAGTAATAAAATCCTTCCATTCCCCACCATCCAGTGGGAGCTGAAGAAGCTTCTTGGATGAGAAGCGAAATATCTTCAAATAAAAATCAAGAAAAGTCCTGTTTCCTCCTGAAAAAAGCACCTTTGGGGCAACCATGACCTGGATGACTAAGAATCTCCATAGACCTCCAAATCAGTGTTTTGCAATCTTGGCATCTTGGTGACGTGTGGACCAACTCAGAATTTTTGGCTCACTGGGGAATTCTGGGAGTTGAAGTCCACACATCTTCAAGTGGTGAAGGTTGAAAAACACTGCTCCTAAATTCTGTCTATTATCAGTTCATGACAGCATGGCTAATGATCAGAGATGCTTGAAAATGTAGTACCTCAGAACTGGGAAGAGGCATAGATACATAAAGCCACTTTGACACTTGGCCAATAAAAAATTCTGTTCTGTTCTGAAGTAGTTAAAATGTCAGGTTAGAAACTGGGAAACTGAGTCCTTCCTTAGACATAAAACTAGCTGGGAAACCTTGAACCATTTTCTCTCTTAGCCCCAGAAAGGACAAACCAGTTCCAAAATCTTGCCAATAAAACTGCAGGGACGTGTCCAGGCATCACCAGGTGCCAACACTAGTTGAAGGCACAGACACACAGGTATATGCCTGGCGCCTCCCAAATTCATTGGAGCTTTGTGAATCTAAAGCAATCTCTCAAATTAGGCTACAACAGGAAATTGTGTCAGAAAAATGGGCATCTTTCTAATCCAACTTCTGTCTTAGATGAACTGAAGATACACTGCAGTCTTAGCTAGCTTCCAGGTGGCAGCCCCAAGTCCCACAGAGCCACAATCAGCTCTCAAGAGGAAGTTGCAAAGGCCTTTGTGGCAGCTGAATTGCCAAGACTCCTAAACAGCAAATTCAAATGTTCATAGACAATGCCTAGAAAAATCCATCGATCATTTGTGGGCATGGGCTTGATACCAAAGAGATATATTTTCTCTCTGCCAAAAAAATGTACACTCTATCATATTCAAACAATGCAACAGTTACTGAAGATATATAACAAAGGGTGGGATGCTATTGGTTTGGCCTGGTTCAGGCAAACCGGTAATTCCAAAGATCAGTTGAGAGCGAATCGGTTTGCTCCGACCTTCAGGTGGGCCTGCCCCCCCTGCCCCTAGGCTATACCTATCTATATTTCCTTGTTTTTAGCCCAGTTGATAGGCACCACAAAGCGTTTGCAAAGCACATGCTCAACGAAACATTTGTTAGACCAGTTGAATCACACCACTGTGTATAATCAGTTTATGAGTCAGTCATATATAAAATGGCAATATTGTTCAGAATCCTCACTCCAATAAGGAACCAAACAGAGAAAAGAAGGTAGATTCTTTTGAAGTGATAGATTCCAGAGAACAAAACCAGCAAGTTGAGAGGGATGAGCCTTCCATCTGGAAATTGCTTTTCACACATCATCTTTTCACAAGAATCCACATGATAGCAAGTCAGTTTCCAGAGCCAACAACTAGCTTTTAAGTCCTGAACCACAATGCCCGATTAGGTAATGCAAGTCTCCTCTGAGTTTTATCATGTTCTTGTGTGCCGTGGAAACATTTACAGTTTGCTCAGAATTGGGTGAGAAGGTCGCCTTTCCTCCTGGGAACCAGGCTTTGTCAGCTGCAAGACTTGAGTGAGTCCGCTTACTTCATTCGGAAACAAAGAGCTGTGGTGCTTATGGGAACCGAGATGATTCCTTAAATGCCACTGCCACCATTTTCTGTGAAGCTCCTGCCGGACCTGAACAAAAAGTTTCAGTTTAGTAAGAAGGCTCATGGTTTTCTTAAGAGAAAGAGGGTACCCTCTCTCTGCCCAGCATAGGGGCTCAACCTCTCCAGTAAATAACAGGGATAAATCACTCTCAAGCAATATCCTGCCCTGATGGCATGTGGTCAGCCACTACTTGCCTGCAGAGGAAGGAAGCAAAGCCAAAATGTGGGCAGAGAAAATCAAATGTAGTCTCGTGGGTATGCAAATAGAAAAGGGGAAAGGAAGATCGGAAAGGCCAATAAATGGAGAAACGTGGTGAAGAAACAAGTAGAAGAAGAATGGGCTGAGGTAGCAAGAGAAATGCCCTGCATTGTAAAGATTTTAAAGACTTGACAATATGGGACCCATTAGATCACCCTTCCAGAGATACTTTCTTATTTAAGCAGAGATGGAATGATCATAGGTAGGGCAAAACAACAGTGGGAATAGAAGGGACTTCCAATTTCCTGCTGGCTTCCCCATTGATACTGCTTTTGTAAGAAGCTGGCAGGAGGTATCAGAAATCATTCCTCCTCTTTCTCCTTGACTGGCACTTGGAACTGCCTACCACATCTGGGAATAAAGGAATAAAGAGATTTGTGGATAGAAAAATGGCACCCTTGCTTCCCATTCTGTTCCCGAGGGCCCCCTTGCTCCAGTGAGGAAGAATAGCAATAGCAGTTAGACTTATATACCGCTTCATAGGGCTTTCAGCCCTCTCTAAGTGGTTTACAGAGTCAGCATATCGTCCCCACAGTCTGGGTCCTCATTTCACATACCTCAGAAGGATGGAAGGCTGAGTCAACCTTGAGCCGGTGAGATTAGAACCGCTGAACTGCAGATAACAGTCAGCTGAAGTGGCCTGCAGTACTGCATCCTAACCACTGCGCCACCTCAGCTCTTCCTAAGGCACACCCATCGACTGCTGGAGACCCCAAACTAGCCCTACTTGCCAGCAGGCATCCAGATTGCTCCCTCACCCCCTCCCTTGTTGTCCACCATTATTAAGAGATTTGAGATTTCAGCCTCGGTTCCAAAGCAGCCAATTGCCACTTACTTGTTGGGACTTGCTGACAGCTGATTGGCTGCAGGGACCAGAGGAGGTGAGAAAAAGGGTGGGGGTATGGCCCTCCGATCTTCTCACTCTTTCTCCACACAAACATACCAAGAAAAAAAACTAAGATCAAGACTATTCTGGATGCTGAAAGAGAAAACTAAAATCTTTAATCTTACGAATTTTCCCTAACCCCAATATTCCACCTTTCCTTCCTGTTTCCCTTAGGTTGCCTCTTAAGGTACATTATCTAGTGAGACAGTCTGGCAATTCAACTAAACTGATCCAAGTTCTGCTTTTAGGAGGGAGTATGAAGCAAGAACTCCAGCAAATGAGAAAACAAAGTGTCCCCAAGCCCCCCCTCCCAGAGTTTCAGAGATGGCTTGACCATTTGATCATTAAGATCCATGGTGGCCCAGTGATTAGAATGCAGTATTGCAGGCTAATTCTGTCAACTGCCAGCAGTTCGATCCTGACCAACTCAATATGCTGACTCTGTAAACTGTGTAGAGAGTGGTATAAACTAAGTACTATGAATCAGTATATACCATGTTTCTCCAAAAAGAAGGTTGGGTCTTATTTTCTTTTGATCCCTGAAAAAATGGCTAGGTCTTCTTTTTGGAGGGTTCTAATTATTGACTCACCTCACGGCAGTGGTACCAACAGCCCTGCCCAACAGGAGCCCACTGCTGGCCCACTTCTGGTGACTACTTGCCACCATTCACATGCATTGCCTTGGCCTCTGTTTCACCTGCATGAAGGTAGCTCCACCCCCTCATCCCCACCCTACCTTATTTTTTACCAGTGTGCCTTGCCCCACCCCCTGCACTCCAGGGTGGGTGTGGTCTTAAATAGGGCTAATTTTGTGGGTGGGGCTTAATTTGATTGCATGTGCTCAAAACTATGATAGGGCTTCTTTTCAAGTCTTTTTCGAGAAACACGGTAAGTGCTATCACTATTTCTCTTGTTTGCTGCTGATGGCTGGAATTAAATCAACAAAGCTACCCAGCACAAAGGCTGCTGTGAGAATATAGCTGCTTTCAAAGGCAGGCAGAAGCCTCTGTGGAAATCTCCATAGCTCCTCCCTGGATTCTCGGCTTCCTGATCTGAAAGATTTGTACAGAAATAATCCCCTACCCCACCACATTTTTTTCCTCAGGAGATGCCAGTCAGCTAGAGAGATGCTTGTATAGAAAAATCTGGGGCATAATTCCATATCCCAATCACTGTACCTAAACATTCTTCTGGTTTGAGAAAAAAGTTTCTTTCCCATCAACCAGAATGACATTGATTTATCAAGCACTTTAAGGAGGGGCAGCACAAGAAAGGAGAAAAGAAAAGAGAGGGAGTCCCTTCATTTGATTTGCAACTGGAAGGAAGGACAGATCTGAATAAAAAAATTCAGTAGCCTGCAGTGGAGTCCATTAAGAAAGATGACCTTTGAAAAGGCATCAACTGTATATTGCTAATGTGGTCCAAAAGAGCAGTGGAGTCACCTTTTTTTTCAACTAGAACGGGAACTCATCAAGTTTGCAGACAACACAAAACACATTAAACACACACATAACACAATCCCCACAGAAGTCCTGAACCCTGCTGGGTCATCTAGAATTTTGAAAGCATCTTAGGGCATTTTCACAAAATGACTTTGATGGTGGGAGCAATAGTAACTCTATGACCACGAATAAACTGATCACACCATTAATCACCATCTCTACCCTCTTAAGATCACTATCATTTCCATTTATTTCTTTTTCTTGGACAAGTGGACTTTCCTTATCCCTGACTGATTTTATTTTCTAAAGCTATTTTGGGATATGTGTGGGACTTGAAAGTAAACTAAAGCTGATGTTTGAGATGAACACTTCAGTTTGCAATATACTAGCCTCCCACTTATTCTGTTTGTTAGAAGGGTCAAAATCAATAATATAAAAATTAGAGCCCAAGAGGCTTGCTCATAGCAAGAGCAAGAGCATGTAGACCTTTATACCACTTTGCACTGCTTTACAGCCCTCTCTAAGCAGTTTACGTAGTCAGCATATTGCCCTCAACCAGGGGTGGATTGCTATCAGCATTACTGCCAGTTCGGCGCGCTCCGCATGCACGCGCAATTGCCTGTAAATAGGTCTGTGCATGCACAGAACATTTTAAAATGCCCCCCAAAACATGCCATGATGACCAAGGAACCAGTTCGGAGGCATGGCCAGCCTGGGCAACCCAGGTCAACATTCCACTACCGGTTCACCCGAAACGGGGCGAACAGATAGCAACCCACCTCTGCCCCCAACAATCTGGGTCCTCAGTTGACCGACCTCAGAAGGATGGAAGGCTGAGTCAACCTTGAGCCTGAGGGACTCAAACTGCTGAACTGCCAGCAGCCGGCAGCCGGCAGCCAGCACTCAATAGAAGTAGCCTGCAGTACTGTATTCTATCCACTGCTCCAACAGTTCTTGATGTCCATGGATACCATGTTGGTAATCCATTATTTAATGCCATGGGTGAACAAGGACTTAAACTAGATTCATAAGGATTCCTTGCTCCTATTTTTAAAAGTTAGATGTTGCCATTACGTGGATTAGTAGCTTTGTTGCATGTTCTCCATTACGAGAATGATAAACAGATAAGAATAAAATGTTCAAAACTACATAGGGTGAAGCTAACTATTTGCTCTTATGGCTATATATTATATCTATCTCAGTATCAGAAATAGCATGCCCCTTCATGCTGATTGATGGGGAACTTATGGTGAAAAGTGCTATTGTTCTCCAGCCCTGCATTTGGTGGGCTGCCATGGGAAACAGGATGCTGGGTTAGACAAACGTTTGATCTTATCCAGCAGGATTCATGACTAAATCTCAATCCATGGGAAGCTCACCTCTCCATTAAGAAAACAGTAAAGCACAGCCACAGCCAAACCCTGAAACAAAACAAGCAAATTATTCATTATGAAATACACAATAGCAAATGGCAGACTGCCATTCCAGAAGATGGAGCGTCATTTTTTTAAAAAATCACACTGAAATGTGATGCATGTGGCAAATGGAGACTATTTTGTCGCTTTGGTGGTTCCAAAGACCAAGGTGGAGGATGGGATGTTTACATTAGGCTGAACCTGCTGGTGGTTTGCAGCATCCTACATGTTCTATATACAAAATACCAATTATGCTGGCAAACACATTAGGAGGTTTGAAACAAAAACAACATGAAGTAGTTTGAATCAGAAGATAGGAGTTATTCCAGTACTGACCTGAGTGTGAACTTGTAAACATGGTAGGCCAGCCTCACCCCCACCCCCACCCAACATGCACCATTCTAGAAGTTGTAACCCTAACACATTTAAGGGTTACTGGCTTGGGTAAGGTGGCTTCACTACTTTTGTGCTTACCTGCATTCTCTGAGATCCTAATTTAAGTTCCAATCGAAGGTCCAATTTCATTTTAAACCGTATGTTATCCAATTCCATTTCAAATTGTTTTTATCAGATTTTAGTAATAATTTGTGTCTGGAACTCTGCACTTTGATATGGCCCAAAGTCTAATCAATAAAGTAAACTAATTAACTAAGTATCTAAGGAATTTTTCATCAGAGGAACTATACCCCTCTTACCTGGAAAGATCCTAGGGCTTTTTCAAACAGAGCTTGAACTTCCATGGTGCCATTTGTGGTATCAAAAGGGAAAAAAGCAAAAAGAATGTAATGGATTCCAAAGAGAGGGATGAGCACAAGTGTTGATTTAGCAAGCCTCCTAAGAGCAAAGAAAGAGAGAATGACGACGACAATGATGATGATGATAAACAGTGATATCCATTGCCATTGGTACCACATCCAAGATTTTTACAAAGTACGTAAAGAAATTGCAGCTTCCTGCAATAACACCAGTGGAACTACAAAAAACTGTGCTACTAGGAACATCATATATTTTAAGAAGATACTTGGATGATACATAAGACACTGGCAGCAACCCGTATCAGCCATTAGCACCAGTCAATGGTATTTGTGACACATCTTTAAATGTTCAGTTGATTGTGTTTCATGTTTAATGAATAAAAGAAATGATGATGATGATGATGATGATGATGATGATGATGATGATGATGATAAATTTATCAGACTTGAACATTCTGATTCTACAAAAAACAACCATACTTGGAACAGCTTATATCCTCCGATGTTACCTTAACAGTTCCTAGGCCCTTGGTTAGGAATCGAGCTGTTGAGCTACCAACCAGCCCCAAAGGCTTGAATCCCACCAAAGATTTGATGATGATG